GTGATGTATGTTTCCCGTGAAAGTTTTATCTTTTCTTCTTCCTTTACAGTTGCTTCCTTCCCATTTCTCTAGAGTTAAGAATGTAGGGACACAAATACGCTGAATAGAGTTCCCTTTTTAAGTTGAGATTCTACTAAATAATAGGCTCTTTTCTTTAAATGGCTGGCTCATTTCTTGCCTGGATTTAACATGTATTATAAATGTGTCTAAAAGTATTAAAAGGAACTGTAAACTCGAAGAACATCCGAAAGTGTGATTGACTGAACTTTGCTCTCCCCAAATTGATATGTTGAAGCTGTATCCCCATTATGCCTATATTTAGAAATAGGACCTTTTTAGGGAGGTAACCTAATACAGATGGTGTCCTTATGCGAGGTGGAAAAGACACGAGAACTTGCTCAGCCTCATGAAACACAGAAGAAAGGCCACAGGGAAAGGCAGCTGTCTACAAGCCAGGAAAGACAGGCCTCATTATAAATCAACCCTGACAGCACCGTAATCTTGGACTTACAGACTCCAGTCCATGAGAAAGTAAAATTTGTTGTTCAAGACATCCAGTTTGTGATATTCTGTTATGACAGCCCAAGAAGACATAAAGGAAGTCGTTATATCTGCACTGTGTATTTGTTAAGAATTTAGTGTTTCTTTAAAGTAGTGGTTGTTGATGAAAAAAAATCTAGATTCTAATATAGGATGCTACTGATTTCCCAGATGTTGAAAACAGCTCAAATATCCATATAGTTAAGAAAAATGCATGCGGTTATTACCCAGGCATAAATGACAGTAATAACCACACTTCCTTTGTACTAAACCCAGCTCTATCTGACAATGGGCACACTGTTTTACAAGAGGAAGTGTCAATGTCCACACTATTTTTATTATCCACAGGTATTCCCTTAAAATTCCAAAGCTGAAATATTATTTTATTTCTCCTAACATTTAGATAAGTCAATTAAATTCCTCTAAACCACGAATAGACACAGCATACAAAACTGAGGCTCACAGCAATTACCAGGCATTTCTTACAACTTCCATATGGGTTATCTAAAATAATAAGCACAAATAATAGTTATCTAATATAAGGAACAGAAATGTTCCCTTAACCTCTATTATTTTTCATGGTAATTTACTGAGACATACTGGAGGGAAAAAAGAAGAGAATAAAAAGAAGAAAGAGAGAAAGAAAGGAAGAGAAGGAAGGAATATAAGTTTACCCTATTTCTGTAGCCAGGGATACTTTCACAGACTTGGTTCCAAGATATAATGCCCATTTAATTCTTACAAATGTTAAGTTTGTGCAGGCTGGATCAAAAGTCCTATATAATTGAGTAAATTAGCCCCACCTGTCCTATCTCTTTATAGAATTCATCATACCCTCTCAAGTAAGTACAAAATATGTGTTTCATTCTAATTAAGTAAACTACTTAATTCTTATTTGCTTTTGAAATCATGAAACATTAATATATGTGTTCTAAATGTTTAAATAAATTAAATTATTCTATCATAATTCCTGTCTCCTTATGTTAAAAACACACATAATTTGAGAAATTTAAAATAGTTTATATTCAACATTACCATGATTACAATAATTTTAAATATACCTATGTTAATATTCTAAATTTATTCATTTTAACAGGTTTATTTTAATAAATTATGAAAATACTTCTACATTAAGAATTTACCAATCAAGAACTAATATTCTTGTTCTTCCAAACATGAGTAGGAAAACAACCAAACCAACTTTTGGACACTGTGGCAACATTATGTCAATTAGTCATGGAGTATGTGTGACAGGAAATAAATTATCATCATACTTGATATTTATGAAAAATGCTTTATGGTAACATTCTATGAGTTTTTATAATAAGATCTGAGACAGCTAGATTAGGTATGAAAAATAATGGCATTTCTATGGCAGGAGATTTTTCATAGCATGCCAAGTAATCAACAGAAGCCAACTAATGATTAGATACTTCATGGAAGATATAAAATTACAAGCTCTACTATAATGCCAATTCATATTAAGAAAGTTAAGAAAACACATTATTGGTAAATCTATAGATGATATTGACTTTAAAATAACACTCAGATATTGGTCTTCTAAGTAGTTCTAAAAATCTGATTTTTAATAATCAAAGTTTCATTCACAAAATGACATGGGTTCACAGAAACCAGCCTGGTAACAAACACAATATTTACTCTCTAAAACACTTATTTTATACTTGTTTAAATTATATCCATTACTAGGTCATTCCTCAGAAAGTCTAATTCAGCAGGTATGAGATGGTCAGGAAATTGTACTCCATGTTTGAATTGTTCAGTGGCAAAACTTTTAGAAATCCTTATCCACAGCAGACATGGTTTTCATCTTTATATGCTATGTCACTTGGGCATCGTGCATATCAGATAATAAAGTTACTGCAATTAAAATTTTTATTTCACTATAGAGATGTTAAAATGAAATTTTATCTGTGCCAAAATATATATTTTACTCAATTATTTGATCTTCATTACAAAAATTATTTCCGAAGCTGCACTTTCATACACATATTAGCCGGTGAGTCAAACAGTATTTATAAAAGACTATTCTCCCCTTCAATAAGTTACAAATTTTCCTTGACATTCTGCATATCAAGAGTTAAAAACATGAGCACTTTACCTATGTATTTAGAGATTGACAAGAATAAAACCCAAAGAGAGCACCTGACTCTCACATCCATTATGGCCATTGTGACTCATGATCTTTTCCCAATGATAGAAAAGCAATGAACTAGGCTCTCTGCACTTATTTGTAAGTTTACAGACTTGTTTACATGAAGATACTGAAAGCTTAATTTATTATTTCTGATATACTTTGAGAGCTACCTCAATGATTTCATCTATTTGAAATGCACAAACTATTCCAACTTTGAGAACAGCCAGATGGGCGAAGTGCTGAAGCAAACCTGGTTTGAATATGTAAAGCATCAGGCAAACAACATACCTGATTACAGTTATTGAAGAGTCAGGCAAGGTACTAGTTTATATTTTTAAACCCAATTATTTACCATAGTTCTAATGCTCATTATGTCATAAATATCAATCTAAATTTTTGTGAGATAACTGATAAAAGAGAATAATAGTTTGTTTGTTTGATCCAGATATACAGTATTTTAGCCTGAAATATAAAGAATGAAGCAGAAAGCTGAGAGTGCCCCTATACTCTCCATCAGATAGGTAGTCAAGTCTCTGTTTTTTGAGCCAGCAGTTGCTAAAAATCATCTCAAAAATAAAGTCACTCAATTGCTTTAAAAAACGTCAGGCGTTGAAAAGACTTTCACCTCTTGTGGTAATCTCCTTTCACCTTTAAGAAGTCTTTATTCCTAATAAAACACTCTGGCCGAGATTTAAGTTCATTTTCTCCAGCTCTACAGAAATGGTGAATAGCTAGTCAGAATCCTATTTAAGATCATTCTTCAAACATTGATATCAATCTTCTTTCTACTCCTTATTAGCTGTGGGACGTTGGGAACTAATAAAAGCATATATTTCTGCAGCATAAAAATATTAAATATAATTTTATTGTACTTGTTAGTCTTTGAAGAATTTTTGTTTATGTTGACTTAGTTCATCCTCAAAACAACCCATTGAGGATACAAAATTACTTATGATACAAAACTAATTATCATAATTCACAAAATATTTCATACCAAAAGAACAATATAATTATACCCAATTCTTATATGATAATCATTGATTTTTATTTCTCAATATCCTATATTCTTTTTCAAGCAAAATGAGTTTATTAACTTTTATGTCTTAGATCTACTAAGACTTGATATTTGTATTTTTTTCTGAAACATAGTTTCTATTAAGTGTTCCACGTCCTTCTTGATGAAGTTTAATTTTGCCTCTCACATCCTCCTTTTGCTTTCTTCTAATGATTTTTATCTGGTGCTTAATAAAGCATTTCTCTAGTTTAAGGCAATTTACCTCTTAGTCAATATCCCTATGCTGACCTAAAATGCTGACCCATTGCTGACCCAAAATGGAAACCCAGTAAGTTTCTGATGAATAAATAAATAAAGAAATAAATAATCTTTTAAAATTTTAACAACACATTGGAACATGCATTGCTAAATCCATGTATAAGTACACATTTTTTTTCTCATCTTTCAAAAAAAATTCTAGGTTTAATTCTTTTGAGCTGAATAGAGTTGCTGACTAGCTCTGTGTTGGAAGAACTAATAAAGTTAGTGCATTATAAATATCAACTTATTAATTCTTTCCTACAACTTTATGAGTTTATGAAGAAACTGAGGTAAAGAAGGGTGAAGTGACTTGCTCGACAAGATCCAAGAGCTAATGGTGGCAGAGCCAAGGCTTAAAAACAGGCACACCAAGGCCCATACTTCTTAAGGTTTTTGTTAATGAAAAAACTAATTGTAATGCTTTCTTTTAATATAGTTATTTAATAATAAAAATTTACCTTAATTGCACCAAAAATTTCTCAAAACCAGTTGAATTCTAATTTGTTAAGGTGATTGTTTATACACTGTCATACAAAAGATAGCTCATCCACATGACTTCTCTTTGCTCTTTCATTTGGCAATTTCTTCTCAATGTTTGCATTTACTCTAAGACCTATATTACTAAATAGAGGCTAAGTTTCAGTCTTGCTAATGTTTTGATATTTTCTACAAAAATACTTTCTAAAAAATACCTACTTAAAATTGTCAATTAACTTTTTTACTTGAACTAGAGTAAAAGAGACTTGCTTGTGACATTTGTGAATTCAGTTGTCAAGAACTATAATTTTGTATGCTACATAAACAAACATACTAAATTCTGTAGTGTACATTTACCAAAAGTTTTTCAGATATCACAGAATTATCTGGGAAAGAAAAGGATGTTTTTTCCGACATACACTACAGAAAACATTTGGTCTATAAAAAAGCTAAAGAGCCATTAAACATTAGTTGTTGATAATAAACATAAAACTTTCAGAGACAGTCCCTTACCTGTTTTATTGGAAAGTCTAAAAGAAACCATCTTATCAGGAATATTACAAACATTCCTCACTGAAGCAATGCAGCTATAATTAGCATAATCCTGAGGTCGAAGATTCTTTAGTTTTAAGATCTTTGTTTCACCCTGAAAATGTAAAAAAGGTCATTAGAAAAAGTCCATAGTAACCAAAATGGATAAATGAATGAATGAATCATGGAATTATATTGTATTGAATCATATAATTAGCAGAATATAATATGGTAGATTGTATTGTTTTTTAAAGGAAAATGCCCTAAATTTTGAAAAGTCATTGCATTTAAAAGTAATACAATAATATCTCCAGAGATTAAAACGAACAGACTACAGTGAAAATTCATAACATTTTCTTTGCAAACTAGCTTCCTGGAGGTGGATCTATTTTTGGTGGTGGTTATGCAAATTATTATGCAAAGATCAGAACAGTGTACTTAATAATGAAATTTATTCAATAAATACTGCAATCTATGCAAACCTCAACATGAAATGTTATGAAAGAAAAGGATTCTGAAGAAGAGCCAATAAATGAAACAGTGTTGGTAGAACAAAGTCAATGAAGTCAATCTAATGATAGGTAATCTACATTTATATACATAAATAATTTGTGAATATGGAGGAGTGAGAGATGATAAATCTAAAACTGCATAAAGAAGTATTCATGACCATAGCTATATTATTGTTGTTATTTTACATTCAAGAGTTCAAGGTCTAGGTGCCTTAGGTAAATCTGCAAAATTGCAGATAGACTCAAATAAGGTAAGTGACCAGAAATATCATACAAACTCTTGATTAGCCAGGAAACCATTAAAATAAACTAACATTGTTCAAAGTTTAAAAAGAGCAAACAACAATAAAAAGGAAAAATAATCCTTCTGCCCAATTCAAGTTAGGTTTCCTGGAATTCTTTACCTTCCAAAGTCAGTGCATCTTCTCAAAATAGATCCTCTCATAAGTAACTTAACGGTGAAGATATTATAGCAATTTCCAAAATGTGAATTTCTTTACCAGATAAAATCTATAAAACGACATGTTTCTTTTATTTTGCGTCAGTAACACCACTCAAATCCTAAAAAGTGCAGGACTTGCATACATTCTTCAAAGGGATCAGAATACTTAGTGGGACAATATATAAAGGCACTGCCTGTTCATTTGCAAGAAAAACGAAAAACAAAGAAACAAACAAAAGCTTGCTCACACAGGCAGGCACATAGAGGTTTCCAAATGTTTCAACTCAATCTCTCCTTCAGTGTGCATTTGGCCATAATTCCTTTCACTTACATTCAAAGTTCATTCTTAACTCAGTCACATCTTTAGCATTTTCCTCTGTAGTATAAGCAACAATCTTCCTTTCTCTACAAACAAATACAAATACACCCCACACAGATATAAACAGAGTCAGTGTGTGTGTTTCTGGAAATTTTATATTTCAAACAAGTTCTCAGTGTACTACAGAGTTACCATTTACATTAACAAGATATAATGCCTAGAAAAATATGCTTAGTTAGAAAGCCTAGTTGAAAGAAAATGCTATTCTAGAACCAGTTGACAGATAATATTTTAATGAAATGATAAATCCTACTCCTCCTACCTCTTTGACTGTTACTGCTTGTATTTCTATACCTTTTTTCCTCCTCTGAACACTTAATTGTTAGTATTTCCTGAAATTCTATTTATTCCATAGTTAATCTGACTATAAAATTCCTCTAGGTGATCTTAGCCTTGCTGATGAAGTTTTACTACAAACCCCATTCCCCCAACCACCACATCCAGTCTCTACCCTTCTTTCAGGATTTGTATGTACCAAATTTTTACTTCCATGTGTTCATTCTGATGTCTCACGGACACCTAAAACTCAACATAGTCTAAATTGAATTCCAAGACTACTCCTCTAAATCTATTTTCTTTCTTTGATAACAGGAATCTTAGACTTTCAGTTACTACTTCTTATTTCTATATTCACTACCTCACCCATTTTTTTCAGATTGCTAGCCTCCATTTTATTTATTTTTAAATCATTTTTTAAAATGTTCATCTATTATAGTTATCCCACTTTTTCCCCCTTTGCACTCCTCTGCCTATCCCCCTCCCCACACACAGACAATTCCCACATGGTTTTCAGTGTCCGTGGGTTATTCATATATTTTCTTTTGTCTAGCCCCTTCCCCCTCTTTCCACCATTATCCCCCTCCCCGACCCTCTGGTTGTTGTCAGTCTGTTCCATGTTTCCATGCTCATGGTTCTATTTTGTTCATTAATTTATTCGGTTCATTAGATTCCTCTTATAGGTGAGATCATATGGTGTTTGTCTTTCACCAATTGACTTATTTCACTTAGCATAATATTCTCCAGTTCCATCCATGCTGTTGCAAAAAGTAGGAGTTCTTTCTTTCTGCTGCGTAGTATTCCATTGTGTAAATATACCACAATGTTTTTATCCACACATTTTCTAAAGGGCACTTACGATGTTTTCAGAACTTGGCCAATGTAAATAGTGCTGCTATGGACATAGGGGTGTATGAGTTCTTTTGAATTGGTGATTCAGGATTCTTAGGGTACATTCCCAACAGTACAATCTCTGGGTCAAAAGGCAGTTTCACTTTTAGTTTTTTTGCAGAAGCTCCATACTGGTTTCCTCAGTGGCTACACCAGTCTGCATCCCCATCAACAGTGCCCTAGAGTGCCTTTTTCTTAAAATTCTTGCCAGCACTTGTGTTTTATTTATTTATGATGGCCATTCTGACAGCCATTAGGTGATATCTCATTGCAGTTTTAATTTGCATCTCTCTGATGGCTAGTGATGTTGAGCATCTTTTCATATGTCTCTGGACCCTCTGTATGTCCTCCTTGGAGAGAGTCTATTCAGATCCTTTGCCCATTTTTATTTTTTATTTTAATTTTTGGTTTATTTACTTACTTACTTATTTTGCTGTTGTTGTTCAAGTACAGTTGTCTCCATTTCTCCCAGCACCACTTTCCCCTGCCCCACCCAACCCTACCTCTCATCCTCAATCTTCATTCTCATTCTCAGATCCTTTTATTGACCTTTAATTATATCTGATCTTGATCATTTTTTAAATTTACTTTTAAATGTAATCTTAGATCTAAACCCTATGTTCAACTGAAAAAACCCTGCTTAGTATAGTTTAAGAATGCAAGCAAACATAAAGACCTAATCTGTAACCAAGAGTTTAATATGCAAATCTGACCATGCCATTTCTCTGCTTAAATAACATGGTTTACTCTTGTCCTTAAAAATAAATGCAACAGCTACTAACATGGCTTTCAACGCTATATGATTTATGTTCTCCTTTCCTCCCCAGTCTCATTTCATTCTTTTTTTTAATTTTTATTTTTTTCATTTATTTTTATTGTTTATGCTATTACAGTTGTTCTCACTTTGTCTCCTTTTCTTCCCCTCCATCCTACCCCATCCTCTCTCTCCCTAAATTAACACCCATATTGTCATCCGTATCCATGGGTAAATGTTCTTTGGTTAATCCCTTCACCATCTTTCATCCCATCCCCATCCTTTCTAGTAGCTGTCAGTCTGTTTCATGCATCTAAGCTTCTGTCACTATTTTGTTTATTAGTTTATTGTGTTTATTAGATTCCACATATATGTGAGATCATGTGATTTTAGTCCTTCACTGGCTGGTTTAATTCACTTAGCATAATATTCTCCAGATCCACCTACGCTGTTTCAAAATGTGTTTTTTTTTGGGGGGGGGGTTGTTTTTTTGTTTTTTTTAACTGATGGGTAGTATTCCATTGTGTAAATGTACCACAGCTTTTTTATCCACTCATCTACTGATGGGTGCTTAGGCGGTTTCCAAATCTTGGCTATTGTAAATCACACTGCTATTAAATTAACTCATTCTTCTAGTGTTTTGCACACATCTAGCTTCCTTCTGCCACAGACTCTTTAGATATGTGTAGCTCTTTACTGCTCTGTGCTTAATCAATTTCATCTTATTCTTAGCTCCCAACACTCCCTACTTCCACAGATAAGCATTTCCTCACTTTCTGGAGAAGGAATCACTTTTTGTGAGATCTGCTATTTCTTTACAACACATTCTCATTTTTCCATTTATTAGTAGTGAATTTATTATCTGTCAACTTTTCACCTTGCTTGTAAGAACATGAAGGGCAGGGATTGTGTTTGTCTTGTTCTTAGCGTTAGGTACCAAGCACTTAGCACAAGACTTAATATAGGAGAGACACTTTTTAAATGAATACTTTTTTCAATGAAAAGTACCATAACTACCTATCTTTTACCACTCAGGGCTTTGCTTTATACATATTTCTCTGGAATTTACTATCTACTGGGCACCTGATACAAATGTAATAGAAGTTAATACAGTCAATATACTTAAAGCAATCATACAGTAATAATGATTATTAAATATATTCAAAGAATAAACAGAGTCATTTAGATTTATATTTAATGACAGTCTCTTTACATAGAATTAATTATATTCTACCAGTATTTCTTGTTTCTGTTTCTACTGACAATCTATTTTTAATCCTCATTTTCTGGGTACTGTTTCTACACTCTACTGAAACTGTACCAAAAAATGTTTATTAAAATTCAATAAATCTTTTTCATGCTGTTATACTTCTCTGTTTACTTCTAGCAAGCAGATCACCTTGCTACCTTTATAGACCCTTGTGTAAAAATAATTGATTATAAATATAATATTTTAGTTACTTTTTGGTTGTTTTTCATTTGACTTTCTATCTATTGTGAAAATTTTAGTCTGCAATCCTTAACTAATATACTTCCAGTGGACCCATTATATTGGTTTCATTCAGCATCTGTGTACAGATATCCATCAAATCTCTAAGCACATGGTCAGAATTGTCCTGAAGTTTATGGTATCCAAAAGTAAAGAATATAAATTAGATAGTAATATTAATATTTTAAGGCTTAGAGAATTCATCTTACCATTTGTGATGATTCCCATACTTTATAAACACCAAGTATGGCCCAATAAATATAATGTTTTGCACACACCATACCCTAGCTTATTCTCACACAGAACAGTGCATCAAAACTTGCACATGAAAAGCACAGACAAAAGGAAAGAATAACTTTTACAGTGAAGTCT